TAAGTTGTGTATGTATTAAATTTTGTAATTAAAAATACAATTTAAAAGAAGAACTAAGGAGGATATATATTACCGAATAAATATACAATGTATTAAATTAATTAAATTCATTTTATAGGGAATCTTTTCATCATTCATCCTGCATTTTACAAGACTAACAGAATGTTTGTGGTATATTTTGTTTTAAGAATCACGTGGGCTCTTCCAAGCTACGTAATTGTCCAACATTTTTCATTATGTCCAAATAAACTAAAAACAAAATTGAAATATGCATTTTAATTAGAAACATTTTTTTTTTGTCATTCCGCGTAAAATAATTTAACTGTATTTCAGAATTAAACTTAACCGAATGGCAAGTATTTGTTTAAATTTTAACCCTTCCAGACGTCATTATTGTGCAACACAATACTCTTATTGACTTTGTTTTCATCTGACTAAAATATCTGACAATTTTTTAATGAACTATACAGTTTTTTTTATTTAAGAACGGTTCGTTGATCCATAGTATTCTAAATATAAATCCTATAAGCATAAAAAGTCTGAAAGGGTTGAATAGAGCATAAACCTCTGTAACGTGTTGTCCTCTATGTCCTGCGATGATAGCCAGAAGAAGCACTCTCGGATGACTTCCTATTCCCGATGACTTCTCGCCTCTCCTATGCTTCCTCTCCGGAGAGTGACTTGGAACTCAGTCCGGCACCAGCCTTACCGGGTGCTCTGGGTGTACCGTCTAGATTGAAAAGCAGTTCTGACCCAAGCATTGCCACGCAAGACGACATTGCTGCACCACCTCCATATTCGACCACTTATCAAGTAAAAAATTTAATTCTATTAATTAAATAATCGTCACTTTTATAAAATTGGGACAAAAAAATACTTTGAGTTATGTACATAAATTCTCTCGATAAATAAATGAATAAATATTAATTTTATAGAATACTTACATATTTCAATAAATTATAAATAAACTCTCGAGCACCAATATTTTTCCAGCAATCGTTCGAACAACCAAAAAGAAGATCACAAGGAGGAATGGGAGACGGAAAATATGGATTTTCACTATCAGGGCAAATTAGCAATCAGTCAGGATCACCAGAATATCTAGGCGGTTCATTCGAGCCACGAACCTCTCATCACAGCCCTCCTGATTTACCTCCAAGAGTGGATCGCAATGCCAAGCCAAATAGTCAACAACAAAGGAATACTATTGGAAGATCGGCTCAAGAACGATTGCTAAATAAGACAGATTCAGTGTTGGACGTTGCAAATTATATAAACGCAACACCTCACAAAGCTAATGCATCGTCGCTTGAAAGGACCCAACCAAAAGCGGTAAAAACAGTTTAAAATCATTAATAGGCATTGTGTCATTAATAGGCAGCGAATGTTTATACATATATAAAGGAGAAAAAATTCATATAATAATTTAACAATGCACTTGTTATAATATTTAACGGAATAAACAGAAGATGAATTTCTATAAACATCCGCTGTGTAATTAATAGTACAAACTATTATGCTAATTTTAATATTTTACTATTTGTTGATAGGGAAGTTATGATAGTATGTCTTCTTATGATTCTTACAATAATACAAATGGGAATGCCAGTTACGGTGCACCAGGTTTAAATACATCAACTGGTCGCTTGGGTCCTAATGTTCCAGACGACTTAAAGAGCAGTAATGCACCAGCAAGACCACATGATCCTTACAGATTCACTAGATCCACTGCACAACCAATTCCAAACCACGATTCGCAGCCACGGACTGATTACGCTAAATACAGGTGTGTACTTCTTATCAGGTGAAATCAAGATGTAATCAAACATAATTTGTGGTTTCTGCACAGAGAAAAATCCAATGAGAAAGAAAATATTCAATGTTCTTTTAAACTAGTTCTTTCATTGTTTTTCTTTATATTCTAGAATGAAGCCTCGACCACTGAGGAGAGCTTGTAGAATTTATATTTCTAGTCGAGATACATTAGTCTGAATTCCATTATATTTTTCCTCATTTTATATTTTACTAGATACATTACGCACATTTGTATAATTTTAATCATCATACGCTATAAAAGAGAAGTTGATCATATATAAGTATTCTTAAAAAATTTTGCATTTTGAATGCACTATCCTGTTAGTATTTACTTTATATTGGACTCCTACCTTTTATTTTATAGAATAAGTATCCTTTGCTTCTAGGGATCCTATTTTCATATGCTTTATAATCCTTTATTATTATTTATTCAATACTTGTTGTTTACCTGTACGCTAGAATATTTTGCTTTGTATATTGTAGCCGCACAACTGATTACAAGTCGATAACATTACCACAAAATAAACCTGGAGGATCCTACAAGCCAATACCGCCTCCTAAGCCAAAAAATTATAGGCCACCGCAAGCGAATTTGACTCAATCAGAAAATAATGGAAACGAAGTAAACAATACTCATCAACATTCAAAAAGTTATTCCATTGCTACTTCTCATGTAAGTGAAGTATTCTTACAGAAGGTTATTTTCTTATAAAGAAAGATAACAGTAAGATAATTTCTACTTTCAGGTGGAAAATACTAACAACGTCCAACGAAACAGTGGACAGTATTACTACAACATTCCGCCACCAAGTCGACACGATTCAAACCTCGGGAATTCTCATCATAATTTAAGTCATCTGGCTACGCCCGCGCACAATCATAGTCTGAGTCATACGCATGCTCACTGTAGCCCGCCAATGTCAACCCACAGTCACAGTAACAGTGCCAGTCAATTGAGTCTTGGTCTTTCGCATAATAGGAACAGTGTCAATCACAATGGATATGTTGTGAACAACGGACACAACGCACCTGGGCAAAGTTTCCCAACCAGTCCAGGGCATAATCGAGAACCAAGTGGGCTGGATCTCGCTGGAAGCAGGGAACAAAGAGGAAGCGCTTTTGAACTTTACCGCAAACCTGTACATCATTACAATGCAAGGTAAAATTTATATTTGTTGTATATAATTTATTTTTTTTTTTAATTTCATTCATTTAAACAAACCAAAAGATTGTAAATTTTCAAATTTTCTCACCAAATTTTTGTACCTTTCAATTTTGTAAATAACATTAACATCTAAGTATTACAAAAATTCTATTCCAACATTTACAAAAAATATTCTTGTTATTACAGTTAACATGCGCAAGGATTTATAGTCTTTCTAATGACAAAAAAAAAAAAAAAAAA